ATGCCTTGATTTCCCTGCAGGTAATTAACATTTTACTATTTGTAGAAGCATACAATAATAATAGCAGACACGCAAGAAAAGAATAAAACAAATAACAAAATATATACCTTCAGCTTCATATATATATAGCCCTGAGCTCTAACTTGGAGTAATTTCTGACGGATCCTACACTTGCTAGATGACATGATGATTGCTGGAAAATTAACAACTGCAAAAGCCATTTTTGCCTACAGGAGAATTTTTTTATTTAACCAGATTGAAATCGTGAAACAGTTGGGCTAAACCAACGCGTAACGTTGTTGAACTGGAGAATAGCAAATGAGAAATGCCAGATATATAAAACATTCGAAGGCCATATATAGTGAAGTTTTCAGTTGTCCAATCGAGCAAACAAAATATATATTTGAAACGTTAATTAGTGTCACATGTCAGATGTATATAATTTTATCATTTTGTTACACGCAATTTTCTTCTTCCTGGTTATGTAATATAATGTTGTTTTACCCAGACAACATAATAATCATCTATACGATTTGGAAATATAAAAACATGACCAAAAATAATATTGTTAGGTGCAGGGAAATTGAACCTGAATTTGATTAATTAAATCATTCTTGAAATGAAAGGAAAAAGGCTTCATCTTTAGGAGTTTCTTCTGGTTCTGGATTTACTAAGCCAATATACACGACATTTTAAATAAGAGTTTATCAATTCATTGAACATGGCATGTTTTGTGTCCAATTAACCTTAATTGATTTTTCATATATATGGCTGTTGGTTGAATGGAGACAACCGGCTACATATGTTAACGTACAATTTTGGAATTACGTAGCTATCTTCTTAAAATCACGGAAATAGCAATATGATTATCGAGGTAAAATAAAGATAATTGAAATATACACATGCCTATTTCTAGTGTGTTAACGTTTCACAAATCATAAATTTGTCATTTATAGGAGGACCAAGTTAATTTTGGGGTCAATTAAAAGGGCAGCTCTAGTAATGTTAGAAATGGTCAAATAGCTTATCGTAGCCTATATTATAAGTACGCGTTTTTCCTCGACTCAAGCTATATTTTTCCCATGCATAAAAATGTCTAGTTATGTGGAACATCTTTCGTCTTAGGGTTGCATCCCCATAAACAAATTGAAGTTTTCTATTTTAGCAATATTCTTAACAAGAAAAGGACAACCTAGGTATAGAGCACCCCACATTCATGCAGGATCCGCGATATAGACAATCTATCTAGGAGTACTGTACATGGACCGGGTTAGTTCGGATTTTATCAAAATCAAACCAAATCAACTATATCGGTTTGGATTGAAATTCGGTTTTGACGGGTCTTTCGGATTTTTTTTTTACATGAATATTATTTCAATTTTACTTTATTATAAAGTTACAGATAAAGTTTTGATTGGTGAATATATGTTTACTAAAATTTTTAGAAAATAACAAACATATGATCTAATAAAATATTCTTACGAGAGAATTTTTTTGTAACAAATGATAGTAATTTATTTTCTTAGTCATCTAACAATAATTTTTCGTTGATGTACGCTTTCAAGATTAATCGAATTTAATAATTAAACATAAAAATCAATATGATACCTAAATAATGATATGTTATATATGTAATTTTAAATTATCGAAATACCACTTCAAATTCGAAAAAGATATAGGAAATCTTGACATATGAATATGAAAAAACAAAGAGATGATTGATGCATCAATAACACTTAGTAATAAGAAAATGATACAATCCATTATTTAAAATAAACAAAAACGAATGCACTTCATAGTTATGTTAAATATTATGTCCCATGAGAGGATCCCAAATATTTCTAAATATTTTTTAACTAAAATTCTATATAAAGTTTTAATAGTATATATAAAAAGTTATATATTTATACGTCGATTTGGTTCGGTTTTTTTTACTCGATGCCAAACCAAATCAAATCAAACCTAGTCGGGTTTTTTAGTCGGTTTGGTTTGACTTTTCGGTTGGATGCGATTTTCCGGTTTGGTTTGAACACCCCTAAGTCTACCATAATGTAAGTATTAGCGGTTGCTTCTACGACTTGAACAAGATTTTTTTTTTGTGTGTGTGTGTGTAAAATGAAATTTTATCACAATGATATAGCAATGTCATTTAGTTTAACCCTATGATTACCTGACGTTTTAACGTTATATTTATTATTAAATCCTGATTAACAAGATATGTTACGTGCGCGTATTGCGGTCAAATGCACACGCAAGTATACGCGGTCATCAAGTAATAAAGTGACTAAAAGTCGGATGTCAAACCCACGAGGACTTGTGATTAACTATTAACTAAATTAGACTATCCTAATTATCTAAACAAGAATTAAACCTAAAAATATTTGACTCTAAACTAATTAAATAAAGTAATATAAATAATGAAGTTTGAACAGAGAAAGAGCAGATTTTTATGATATCAATATAATGAAAATGATCTAGGTTATGGGCTATCTAACAATCCTATTGTATTCTTCAATTGAATTGTCTGACTAATTTATCTAGTTTATTGATTGACATGGTTAATGTTGCTCATAAGAATCTATCGAGTTCTTACTCGCCTATTCAAGCTAACCTAACGCCTATATGTCTATGGAGTTAGAATCAACAAGAACGCATTTGTAATTCCTGTAAATCAACCAAGCAAGGCAATTAGGTATATGTCTATCCTAACCGCAAATCCGTCCCCCGATGCCAGGTTCAAGAACTTGCTCTACTCAATCCTATATGCAATCTAGAATTCTCACTTTCAAGTTCAATTCTAGATTCGTAGATAGTATTCAATTGGTGATCAAGCAATCAAATAATTAAGAGCAAGATTGAATAAATAAACTAATACGACAAATCAAGTAATCAAAATCAATATTCAAATAATAATATTCATGAAAGAACTGCAACCCTAGAACGTCAAGTTTAGCTCCACATAAACATGGTAGCCAAACAACATATCATACAAAGAAACATAAAAATTATAAAGTTTGGTGGAAGAAACGTTGAAACCTGGCCTCAACGATGGCTCTGTGCTCTCCCTTCGTCAAAAGTTAGTCTTAAAAACGTGCTCCTCTCTAAAAAAAATGGTCTTTAATGACTAACAGGCAAAATAATCAAGTCCAAAACTAAAAAAGAGACAAAATAGGCTTTAAAACCCGGAATACGCGTTGCCTCGCGACAGCCCTCGCGGCGCCTGCTCTAACGCGAGCGAATTGGCTCGCGTCGCCTGCTTCGTTTGTCTTTTGGATTTGCTGCCTAACTCTCTCGTTTCTGTTTCTTTCTTTTTCCTTTGCCTTTCTTTCTTTTTGAGTCTTTAATCATTGTTTAATTATGATATCATAATATTTCCAGTATCAAATAATCACAATCCATTCTTGTAGCGTATAAAATACACGTAAAATCTCTATTTTGCTCCCAATTTCGTCTTTAACGTACCTACATATAAAATAAGCTCAATTAAGCATAAATATAATATAGTTTAGCATCAAAGCCTCAAAATATACGGTAAATAATGTACTAAAAATATATAATTATAGCCAAACATCAGCGCGCCAATACAATCAAAATCTAACTTGCATGAAATTCAGCCACTGAAGCTACGTTTAATTTCAAGGGAGCACATCTTTTTATAAGAAAAATCAAGTTAATTTCATGCATCTTACTCATAATTATTTTCCCCGTTACAACTCTTTTTACTTTAGCCTCACTGCAAATTCCAATTGTATATAATATGTCCTCCCTCATTTAATTCACATACCAGTTACCAACAGCAAAGTCATAACTAGTTAAACTAGAGAGCTGGAAATTCTTCTAATTTATTCACACTCATAGGAAAGATCAAACACACGTAACAAGACTATTGAGCTAAAACCAGCTCAAAGATACTCATAATATGTTGTGATATTATTCGATTTGGATCAATTCCGCATAATTTTCCCAAAAGGCCTCGTACCATCCACAAGTCAATTTCGTTAAAGTATTTATGGCAACCGAAGCATCCAACTAGCTTCTTCTTGCGTACGCGCCGTCACCATCACTTTGCTATCTCCATACTCATCCCGCAAAATCTAAGCTCTGATACTAGCTGTTGGCTAAAACCAGCCTAAAAATAGTTTAATATGGTGTGATATTGTTTGTTTTTGCCATATGCCCGCATGATTTTTCTCGTAAAGCCTCACATCATTAAGTGATTTTTATGTAAGACTTTGTTCGCACACCCAAAAAAGATAATTTTATGCCTGGTAAATATTGTTGGAGTTAAACAAATAGGTGGTTCCCCATTTGACAATTTTTAGCTCTACTTGAGCTGTCCTATATTGACCCCAAAATTAACTTGGTCCTCTCATATATAACAAATTTTGTGATGCACTCCTAAAAGTAGGCATTTGTTCCTATCTTCTTTATTAATATTTGGCTTAATTAATTGTCATGCCATATCCCGTTATTAAGAAGATATCTAGGTAGCATTATCCGATTAACTAATTAATGTTAATCAAACAGATAATACGACATGGTTGTTGAACAAAACCTCATTTCTTACTTGTGGTGCTATCCACGCAGTCCTAAAAGTCAGCATGGTTCATGTATTCACAACATATATTAACTCTGTTATTGACAGTATTGACTTAGTAAATCCAGCACCAGAAACAAACTTATAACAATAAAATATGAGTATTAATCCGGATTCAAAGCTCCTTTATTTTCTTATTTAATTGCCGGCACACCTAAACAATTTTGTTTGGGTTCAAAACGTTCTACTTTTTTCATACCTTATAACCACCAAATCCTAATTGATGATTTTTATGTTGTCTAGTGGTGGTGTGTGTATTATTTGACTCGCTAAGCAAAAAAACAAACAAGAATAATTAGTTAAGAAAAAAGAAAAAGAAAAATAAGAATAATAAAGAAGTTATGTCATTGTATATATGTGAGACGTGAAGCAAATTAAACATTTAAACATGCGATTACTGCAATCATAATACAGAAGACTTGCCAGCACAGCACTACAGTTTGTTATAAACTCAGAAAGCTAAATCTTGTCATAATACGGCCCTTTTTTTTAATGGTAAAAGCTGATCAAACATATGGCTTCTTCAGCTGTTCTTTGTCCAGCTATCATCATGTCATATAGCAAGTACAGGATCCGTCAAAAGCTACCTCAAATCAGAGGTCATAGCTATAGAGATGAAGGTATATATGTTGTTTTCTTTTTCGGCTTACGTCTGTGTAATATAATTTTACACTATAAGATCATCTAAAAGATAATGATAATCATCCATAGTAACCTGAAAAATAAGACAGTTAACCTAGCTGTTGTAATAGGTTAAAAGTACACTAATAGTGTAAAAAATCATTACACTGCTAGTGTAGATAAATAATCCTGTTTTTATATATATCGCTGCTTTAGAATTAATAAGAACATCTTTTGTTGGTCAAAATTGCAGGGAAATCAAGGCATGTAGTTGATGCAAATTTGCAAGTTTTAAAGGAAAGAATGGAAGAAGTGAAGATGAAAGAGAGATTAGAGAGGTGTTTGGTATGCGAGCAGGGTTGGAATTACACAGCTACTACTGCAAGTTTATATTTACAAAAGAAACGCAAGAAAGAATTGGATTACATATCTCAATGTGTTCAACTTTTTTGCATGGTTGGTGGAACTATTGGATTTACTATACTTGGCTCTAGTCTTTGCCTTTACCTTACTTCCCTTCTTATTCATTTAAATCTAAGCAACTGAGTTGTGCTCGTGCTGGGATTCTAGCTATTTGTAACTATATATGTGATTATTTTCATTTTTATACATATATTCTTTTGGGGTATTTAATTGCCCTATAGCTTCTAATGACAGACCTTATTTTCTCATTAGCTCAAATTTGAAATCCATTGTTAACTTTTTCCTTCTTCAAAAGTCAAAAGATTTGGGAAGCACTTTGTTGATTCATGAATTCATAGTTGCAAGAGTACAATGTTTCATTTTTCAGATAGAAAGCAAAAGAGAACTTTGGAATATCTGGGCAACATATATTGCTGCATAATAAATTTTTAAAAGTAAAAGTGATGAAGAAACCAGCGTGATTACACAAGAGAGAGCGCTTTCTCAACCAAAGCAATGTACTAATTGCTTTTAACAGTAACTAAGAATCTGAGTACTCTTGATGGCGAAGGAGATATTGATAAATTTTAAAATAAGTCGTAAAAAAGCGAGAGGGAAGTTATGAAGACGGTTAAGGTTTTAATTAAGTTAATGATATTTTGAAGACTGCAAAATAACATTTGGGATAAAGTGGTAAAATTTTCGGTCAATCCAACAAATGGCTTTATATGTATGATGTTTTTATCTTCACTTTTCTTTCCAAGCTAAAACCGAAAGTCTTGTTTTAAAATTAAAACATCATTAAAATTTGGTTTAAATTGTTCTCTTTCATTTTTGTTGTCTTTTTTGCGTGAGTTTATAAAGTCAATTTTATGAATCACAATTACAAGTTTGGTTCATAGAAATATAACTGTAAAGAGTAATACCGAGGTTATCAAACAGCACAAACCGAAACTGAAAATTGAAAAACCGAACCATACCAAATTTATTTCGATATGGTATTGGTATAACAATTTTAAAACCAAAACCGAAAATACAATCTTTCAAAATCGTACCAAACCGACCAATGACCTCCCCTAGTTCCTTAGGAATGCTACAGTCGCTACACGCGAGCCTACAGATCCTCCAAAAGAGAACGTAGGATAGGTGCGAACATGATCAAGATAGCGGAATGGAGGAGAATCTACTGAAGCTTCTCGGTCTCCAACTGCTCCTGGTTGTTGACAAGCAGCATTCCTTCTTTGATTGAGCGTATCCACTTCTTCTACCAATTCATCTTTTGTACTATTACATGATGTAATTACCTACAAGAGGTTACCAGTCAGGTAAAAGAGCAGAGAAAGATAATTTTGGAAGATCATGATGAATTCCCATTCACAAATAAATCGATAATCTTGTACGCCATTATATTAGAAACGATCAAGTCGCAAACATTTAATTAATACCCAGAAAAGACCATAGAACATAGGATGTTAACTTATGAATGTTTCTAATGGGAATGTAAGTCCAACATTAGTGGTCACTACAATGTCTCTGCATCTGTTCTTTTGGATTTTGATGGGGCCCTGGGTTACTATCAAATTATAGTAATTGATTAATTAGAGAAATGATTGCACTGAATAAAATTATAAACAGGACAGAAACCGGAGGAGCTCACCAATAATCCACCGGGAGCAACAAGTCTTGAAACAGAGTCCCAGTACATAATCCTGAAATGACCGAAGAATAACGTGAGATAGGAAAAGTAGCAATGTTATATGTATAAAGAATCAGGGAACACCTTAACTATATGAAAGGGAAACAAAGGAGACAAATAAGTATGCTCATTAAGGAGTTAAAAACTTTTAGAGAGAGGACATTTATTTATTTAGTGATTTTAGGTCTTGAGCCAAGCACGTGAAAATACTTTTGTTGGTGGACAGCAATACATGAATGATGGGTGGCACTAATACTTAAAACTTAGAATCTCTGCCTACTTGGGTACCGTACTAAATTGTGTCATCAATTCAACTCTTGAAGAAGACACTTCTATTTATTTATTTGATTGAGACTAACAGTCTAGGCCATTAGAGGGAGGTACCAAGAGTAAAGAGCGTTTTAGGACATGAAAGATAAAAACAAGACACATGTAACATACAGGATTCTACCTTTTGATAGGACCATCAGGATGCAATCCAATGGCATCTAAGGTCCCCTTATCCATAACTAGCTGAAACCTTTTATCCAATTTTGTGTCAAGAATGTCATCAACCTGTTAGCCAGTAGAAATTTGTTTAACCACGAAAAAGAAGAAGCCAATCTCCAGCAAAGAGAGCACCAGATAAATAAGCACACATGACAAGAGCACAAAATTAACAAGATCACCGACTGCAACTGTTATGGAAGGTTCTTCCCTACGCAAAAAAATCCGCGTTTAAGTTAGCACAATGTTTGTACTCTTGATCACCGAACATGTATAATCAGTGCTATATCTTCCAGTGCAGGAACTTAATAAACGTTCATTGCGTGCGGACACAGTATTGATGGAAGTGTCAGGAGTATGGGGAAACATTCACAAGTAACGATGATTTAAACTTGCTACTATCTGTATATCTAGCCACCTGAACGTAACCAATAATGAAAAATAATAGAGACCATTTAACAATAAGAAGATAACAGAAAAGCAGTTATTCGCCACAAGATTTTGAATACAACAAAGAGAAGCACTGGTTTCCTTTTCGTTTTCGTACTGGATTCAGATGCTGCTGTGTATACATCACAAATTTGCTTAATTAATAAAAGACAAAGGTAAATTTTTACCAAGAACTTGACATTGGTGAAACCATCACGATCAGCAAGGCTTTGTGCAAGGTCAACTGCTCCTTCACTATAGTCAGTTCCAGTGAGATCAGAGAACCTAACGCCATATGTAATGTGTATTAGGAAGTAATAATCTTCAGATTCTCCCCCTCCGACCCACACACACCGAGAATGTTTAAGACTAAAATTGATTAAAATACTGCTAAAACAATGAGTAGGTTCTTAATATAATAAGACCTGGGCACTTCTAATAGAAGCTAAAAGATGTAGGTGTAAATGTGTGATAAGAAAGCCATATAATCTCCTAAACTATATTAACCACAAGAGGTACATAGATGTTGGCCACTAGATCACTTCCATTTTCCCCACCGAGCCACAGGGATGGACATGCTAATTTAACTACTCAATCTGTTATCTAGGTACAACTACCAAAGTTATATGCATAATCTCTCTCTTTCTTTAAGAATTTAAAGTTATACATTTATCTTTTTATTTGTCATCTTCCAGAAGTGTTGTTAAAGACTTGCTTAAAGCGCGCTTAAGCCCTGAAGCTTGGTGAATCTTAAGTTGTGCGCTTCACCTAGCTTAATTGGCACTTTAGTGTAAGCGTCAAGTTGCTAAATCATGCACAAACATACAGAAACCTTCATGACAACTAACTGTTTAATACCCTATGAACTAGGTAATTCACAAAAGTTTTCACCGTGACATTATGGCTCTTTAACAGGTTATAGAGAATATGCATTAGGACAAGAAAGCTCATCTATTGGTTACAAAATGACAAACGAAGCAATTAGATGTGCTAGCAAAAAAAAATTAAATTTACCCTTGTTTAGCAAGCTCTTGGAGAAGCAGTCCATTGCCAGTACCAATATCAAGCACACTCAAACCAGACAAGTCCTTCTCACGCTGCACAACTGGCTCAGAATTGGCATCAGCTGCGTGATTTGGCAAGTGACCCTGGCAAATGTCCATGCACAAACCTTTGGCCCAAGAGGCAACAATTTCCATGACATTGCCACCAAACCTATACAAATACAGCAAAAATATACACATCAAAATATCTCTTTGATCAATATGCAAGCACCACCCTCTCACTTATTTTTCATTTAAGGGGTTGGAACGTAAAAGGCTAAAAGGAAGATAGAAAGACCTGAAAAATTAATTACTCTCTATGATTGGAATAAAAATATCATAAAAAGCTAAATCTAGATCTTACTCCAGCCAATCATCAAAGTGCCATGCTGTAGATCTTCTATACATAAAAACTCTAGTTATCAAATACCCGTTCATTCTCTCAGTTACTATGAGTTTCCACTAGTGATCCACACACTGAAACAAATATGTATGACTTGCTTGGTAGAGAAGTTATAGAGCGCAGAGGGGAAGCATTTCTTAGAATTCTTCAAACTTAAGAACCAAAAGCAACATATTATCTAATAGCTAGGATCAAAAGAAAGATATTGCGACTATAACTTTGCATAGAGTTTTACCCTACTATTTTCAAAAACTTGACTGAGTTTTGGTTTACCAAATTCATAAGTACTGTTGAGCTCTAAAGATTGGATCAAGCTGGAGTGGAATAGTTCCAAATGATTCATATAGACAACCCTACTTTATTCTAGATTGATGGATAGTTGATTGATTGATTGATAGATAGTGTCACAATGGAAGGGATGAGGATAACATAATACTTGGATAGATGAAAAAAAGGAAAAGATGCAAGCTGTCGTCGTTCTAATCCGTACCAAACTTCACCAGCGTGGCCATGCTCACGAAAGTTTGCCAATTCATCAGCATAAGCAGAATCCCAATAGCTTTGGAAACCAAGCATTGAGGAAACTGCTTCACCATCCTGCTCATCCTTGTCAGAACTGCTCATATACAAAAATAAAAACAATCAAAAGCTTCATAAACCATTTAACCGTGTTTGTAATGGATAATCTCTTCTTGCAACTATATACAGAGGCCGAAACATATGAAAAGTCACAGTCTGACTACTGCTTTACCTTAAAATTCCCTAGCTCAATAATGGATAAAGCAAAACAAATCATAATAGATAAAATTATGCCTTAATTCAAGGTTCAATGTCTTTAGTTTCACCCTAATTTATACTATGACACTTCTTTCAGTTTAGGACATAACCAAATAATTCACACCATTCAACTAAAACAATATTATTTTATACGATAAATTTCATACAACTTTCACTTAGTCAAATTGGTTAAACTATTCGAGATTTTTTTCCTCTGTCAAATTAACTGTTAACCTAATATTTTTCCACTAGATAAATCATAATTTATACCAGTAACATCTTCAACATTACGGGTAAAGTTATAGTCTCTATATATAAGAACCTGTACTCGGCTCGGTAATTGAGAGCTTCAGTGGCATCAGCGTGGCGCTGCTCATCATCGAGAGTACTTCCGTACTCGCTCTTTATGGACCAAGAGTCGGCCGCCACGGAGCGGTCATCGTCGGAAATCAGATCGGCTGCTGCCGGTGGTCGGAGTTGTGTTACGTCGGAGTCCTCCGGCAACAGTCTCATTCCGGCCATATACGTATGATAAAATCGAATTCGAGATGCAAAACCCTAAAGGGAAGAGCAAATTAAAGAAAGTGGCAAAGTGGGAGAGACAGAGGAGTATGATGTACGATTGAGGAGTTGACAAATATGGTAATGACATCTGATGCAAGCGTGCCACCACGTCGGACGTAGGGGTAATTTTGTCTCTTTACGCTTATCGCTTTTCGTTTCATTATTTTTTGTTTCTTTTATTTACATAGTTTACGTGGAACTATGCTCTTTTGATTTCACTATTTTGTAATAATCATTTTTTGTTATAAATATATTAGATTATGTATGTTCATTTAGTACTCTGTTGTAAATAAGCTTCCTGAAGAAGCTTATCCATATGGAACTCCACCGTAAATATGTTTATCTATTTAGTACTCTATTGGAAATAAGCTTCCTGAAGAAGCTTATCACTTCAGTACCCAGTTATAGATAAGCATTACCCCCGGTAAAAGATTATCCATATCGGGTATAATAAATTTATCCTTTCAGTACCCCGTTATGGATAAACATTATCCCCGGTAGAAGATTATCCATACCGGGTATAATAAGCTTATCC